AAAAAAAAAAAAAAAAAAAAAAAAAATCTACTTTGCTATATAAAAAATATTGTGCGACAGAGTGCGACAAATATCGGAGATACAGTATGTATATCTTTTATATAATCACCAAATTTGTGATCATACAGAGGGCAGAACGTATTCATTAATTTAAAAAAAGTTATTAATCATATTAATTCACCATTTCTTTTTTTTTTGTTTTAAATGGTATTTATTACCGAATTTTATTAGTATAAGATGCAGAACTTACACCGGAAAACCCGTATAACCTACATTTATGCGCATCGAATAGATGTCACCCCTGTGATACCACGCCATTGTTATCCTAACTACGAACAATGTTACCGACCTACTCCTTTAGTTCGGCTATTGTAAAAAATAACAGTTACACCTTTTTTACTTAGAATTAAATTAACCCCAAAAATAATAACAATACACAAATTTGAAATGGTCATTTTGCTAGCTAAATTTGACATCGTGGTACATACGTACATTTTTTGTAAAAAATTACCATCTACGATACCTAGAAAAACCTACATTCACGAAAACTATCCTAAAAACTTACCACCCTTTAAATACCCGATAACACTACGCATGTGTCACTCATCAAAAAAATTTTTTCGAGATAACATTTTTCAAAACTCATCTTCCGTTCCCACCTCATCATCGACGCCTCATGACAAAGTTTGGCACGCCAATCAAGTATATAATAAATGGCGTTCCAAAAAGAAAACTCAAGTTTTTTTCAAATAGACTCGGTATATCGTATATGGTCTCGTACCGACCAATAAATACAAAAAGTAGTTGACCAAGGTTCGCGTTATATGTACAAAAAATTTTTTGATGGCTTCAAATGCCTATCACCGACCAAATCACGTACAAAGAAAAGACAAGACAAGCGCTTCGAACGTCATTGTAGAAGAATCTTCAAACCTTCGAACAATACATCTCTTTCATCCTTGGATGATCGTATATTTCAAGCTCGTAAACATCGTCTTATTCCTTGAATCACAATACATAGCAAAACCTATACAACATCTTAAATCCTACAAGTCGTCGGATGTTGTTAAACAAAACCAAAAGAGTACCCGTTTAAGACGCCTCTCTACGCTCTCAAAGCAGGTCCACGTCCTCCACTAGCCAAGAATATCGAAGCTACCTTACCGGACTCTACTAATACTTTTAAGACATCAAGCCCAAGTACTAGTACAACCAGTAACACCCCTTCTTTCTCGGAGATAGTTTCAACCAACAACGGAGTTTGACTCTGATATACCACTTGAAGTCTACGCCGCGATGGAGCTTGCTCAGAATGATCGAGGTATAGCCTTAGATAAAATTGATGCCCGAGACTTTGGCACCTCGTACAAACACTATTTTTACCGAATGTACCACTAAACCTGGAAAACGAGCACGGCTAGAAGAGGAATTCAAATAATTTACTACAAATTACCGTACAATTTTTAATGAAGAAATCTTCTCTGACACATCAGAGGAAACAGCGACGTTAGAATATCGTCCCCTCAAACAACCACAACTAATAATTCAATTTGGATTCACATATTCTCGATCACCAACTAAAGAAACTATGTCCAGCTATTGATATCTCAGAAGATGACTTGACGATCGCTGGACCTTCATAATTATCCCTTTTTAAGTCACATCATACCCTATAGTCTATTTTTTTAACGGTTAATTTTATCACTTTTAACAAACAACTTAAAATAGTGTGAATCATTTTACCTCTTGCCGTATTTACAGGTAACGTCCTCGGGTGAAAGAAAAATAGGGTCCCTAGGTCTTTAGTCTTGGATTGTTTCCTCTAGTTTGTTCTTATAGCGTAGTTCTATTTTTTCAAACATTTTTAAATCGAAGGGTGAGGTCCTCTCTTGGGGGGATGACGACCACCGATCTACTACTTAGATAGTCATTTTGTATCCAATACTTGACCTTTAAATGTATTAAACCTTTGTTACTACTCTTTTAGAAATAAAAAATTGCACTATTTGATTGGCCAATAAATATCGTCATCATATGGCAACTAAACGTGACGAACAGACGCACGAAATAAAGAAAGCAGTTAATATCTTCCATAACTATACAAAAAATACGAAAAATTGGGAGGGAAAAAAATCAGAAGAGATAATTCAATCCTTAAAATTTAGTGATGAATAATCATTCTTGCTGCGGCAAGTATGTCAAGTATGTTCAACTGCTTTTTAAGCCAAAAGTAAAAAAAGAGATCGGCGTTTAAATTTTTTTATCAATTATGCAAAACTTGAAATACTGATTATTTTTTGTGTCACTCCATACAGACTTTTTATAAGGAATTTGTGTTTGGGCATTTTATTTTATTTTATTTTTTTTTAAAAAAAAAAAAAGAAAAAATGTTTAAATAATAATAACAATACTTAGAATTATACATTTGTTTACGATGAGATATTCCTTGTTCGACATATTAATTTTGTACGACCACGGAATTACAATTCCGATAATTCCGAACCGATATAATATGAAATTAAACAATTTCCTCCCTTTCCTTCCGTCATTTGCAATATGGCACGTTCGAAAATATTTTCAGGAGATTTACCTGAATTATTAGATAAAATTATGAGATATTGTAATGATATTTCAACTTTATATTCATGTATTTTAGTTAATAGAACATGGTGTCGTATAGCAATCCCATTATTATGGGAAGATCCATTTTCTTTTCATGATCATCGTATTATTGATTGTCATTTACGCAATTCAAGTGAAAATGATAAAATGAAATTAAAAGAATATGGAATTAAAAATGATTTGTCTTCAAATACATTATTTAATTATCCGAGTTTTATTAAATGTTTAGACACGCAGGATTTACTTTACTGTATTAATAAATGGGTTGTATCTACCAGTAGTACCTTAATAAATTCTTTAAATTTAACAAGGTTAATTTATAAGTTATTATTTGAAATATTCATTGAAAATGAAGCAAATTTGCATACCTTTAAAGTTGAAATAGGTAGAGATAGAAATCTCATCGAATTAATATTACAAAATTCAAATTTTATTAATAATGTTAAAAATTTAATAATTCAAGTTTTTCCTAGAAATGCTGATAATTTAACAAAGACTGAAAAGGATATTATTATTGAACATACATCTCGTATGATTAATTCACAAAAGAATCTCAAAAAAATTAATTTTCGTTCTATTGAATCTTTTTTATATGATTCATTATTATCATTGAAAAATTCTAATTGTTCAAATACTTTAAAAACTATTATGTTTTATAATGTTAATTTTGGTAATATTTTAATTCTTAAAGAAGTAATTGAACATTTAAACGTTTTAGAATCTATTCATATGATTTATTGTCGATCTTTAAATTCTGGTTTTATTCAACAAATTAATAATATCAACAAACCATTTAAATTAAGGTCTTTATTTATAGGAAATAGTAGATCATATCAAATTAATTCAATTCAATTATTATTACAAAAATCTGGTATTTATTTAGAAAATTTTGGATTTAATTTTGAATATAATGGATCAAAAAAAATACTTAAATTAATTACAAAATATTGTACAAGAATTAAATTTTTAGAATTACCAGGATTTATTAATCGAAAAATTTATTCTGTATTTGATTTAATTAAAAGTATTGGACAAAATCTTAATTATCTTGATATTATTTTTCATGGAATGTATATTGATTATTATGGTGAAGAGTTAACTAAGATTAGTTCAACCATATTAAAAAGTTTAGGAAAATTTCTCCCTCTTAGAATAAAATATTTACATTTATTTCTTTATGATATTACAGCGAAAGATTTCGAAATATTTTTAAGAAGTTCTCATAAAACTTTTATTGAAAAATTATTAATCAATTATATTAAAACGGAAGATAAAGATATTTTACCTAATTTATTAGATAAATATATTATAAAAAGGAAAAGAGTCAGTTATTTGGGATTTATAGATGATTTATTTTATTTAGAAGAGGAATACAAGTCATATAATGTTATAATTAAGGATTACTATGATTTAGTACATACCGGATTTTATGACTGTATAAATGAGTGGTATTGAATATCATTATTTCCGTCTTTGTAATTTAACTTTTTTATATAAATAAAATAAATTTCAATTTTGAAAATTCTATTCATATGGGTAATAGTAGAATATACAGTGTAAATAAAATCTATCAGACTGACTTGTCTAACCGTCACCGACCACGTGATTGACGAGATCGCGTTGCTTATATTTATCTCAGCGACTTTTTTTTTTGAGTGATGCCTATTCGCCCATTCGCCACCACGTAAGTGTATTTATTTGAATGCGATTACAGTATAACAGGACCCGAAATATATATGTAGAATTTAATAGCTGTACGCATATTTTTCAGGGCCGAAATTATGTTAATGTCAGTCAGTTATTAAAATAGATAATAAATTTTGACTGGAATTATCTAAAAGAGGAAGATCTACGCGATTTTTGTTGGGAGTCGATAATTGAAAAAAAAAATACATGAACATCACAAAATGAAAGAGATCGGCGGGCTGAAATAAAAATAAAAGAAATGATCTACATGTTATTTTTGGTTCTATTGTTGTCTTTTTATGGAATACTAAAATTGTACAACTTCGAAAAATTATATAATGAAACTTTATAAAAATCATAACATCCTTCTTTTTCAATATGGCATGCTCAAAAATATTTTCAGGAGATTTACCTGAATTAACAAAAGAAATTATACAATATTTTAGAAAAGATTTTTTAACATTACATTCATGTATTTTAGTTAATAGACTATGGTGTCGTTTAGCCATTCCATTATTATGGGAAGATCCATTTTCAAAGGATTATCCCAAAAATTACCACTTCATTGAAATTTACTTTTCTAAATTAAATGAAAATGATAAAACAAAATTTAATGAATATGGAATTAAATTTGATTTATTACATTCAAATACGTTATTCAATTATCCTAGTTTTATTAAATACTTGGATACAAATAAAATTTGGCATTCTATTAAATATTGGGTTGATCTCTTAGTGGATGAATATGGTGGTGAGCTAGAAAATAAGTTACTAAACTTAGTTTATAGGTCATTATTTAAAGTGTTTATTGAAAATGAAGGAAATTTATATTCTTTTGAAATTAGTCGTTGTTATGATAAATATCTTAATGATAATATAGACTTGATTTTACAAAATCCAAATTTAACATACAATATAAGAAATTTAAGATTATCTAATGATTCTATTTCATTTCAAAATATTATTCCATTTTTTAAATTTTTATGTTTTAATTGCAACTCAATCTCATCAATTGTTTTTGAATTTCTTACCAACAATAGTTCAATAATTGAACATTTATCACAAATTATTATTCCACAAAATAATCTTAAAAAAATTTCATTTGAACTTAATACTAGTACTTTATATAAACCATTTTTATCATTAAAAACTTCTAATTGTTCAAATACTTTAAATATAATTATATTTTATTATATTGATTTTAAGAATATAATTAGTATTTTACAAGAGGTTTTTAATCAATTGAATGTTTTAGAATCCATCCATATTCTTTATTGTGGGTCTTTAAATTCTGATTTTGTTCAACAAATTATTAAGGTTATTAAACCTTTTAAATTGAGATCTTTGTTTATGAATGATATATTAAATGTTGAACCATTACAATTACTATTACAGAAATTTGGTGATTGTTTAGAAAATTTTGGATTTGAAGTTAATAGTCGTTACAGAGATGATAGCAAAGATTACGAACAAGAAGATAACCAACGACAATTATTTAAATTAATTATGAAATATTGTACAAAGATTAGATATCTTAATTCGAGTATACCTTATGATAATAATATTTATCCATTCATTGAAAATAATCAACATAATATTAATTATATTACTATTGAAAAAGATTATTTAGATGAAGATACTAATTATAGTTCAACTGTATTACAAAATTTAGGTCAGGTTCTTCCTTCTAAATTAGAATATTTATATTTAGGCTTTACTTTTAGGACAGATGATCTGGAAATATTTTTAAATTATTCACAAAATACTTTTATTAAGAAATTATTAATTAAAGATAAAGGTTTACATATAAATGAAGATATTTTATCTTGTATAAAGAAATATATTATTGAGAAGGAAAGGGTTAAATATTTGGCTATTTCTCCTAATATCACGAATTATGAATTGTTTTCTTTAAAAAACGAAGTAAATGAATTTAAATTACATAATATTATAGTTCAAAGATTCCTTGATTTATATACTGATGCATATAGTTTAATAAATGATCATTTACTATAATTTTAATAAATAAAGACTTGCGTATTTTATTTTAAAAATAAAAGTTGTATTCCAATTTATTAATGTGAATATGGAAAAAACCTCTAGATTCCCAACCAATCCTAATTGGCGCTAAATGAACAGTACCCGCCGCAACAAATCCGTGTTATGTTTGATTATGAAAAAGCAAGCCTTTTATTTACATTTATTAAAGTAAACCACTAAAATTATTTAATATAAAAATCAGCACCAAAGTATATAGAATGTCTAGTAACTCAAGAAACATATAAATAATTTGCAAGTGTGTGTTATTAAAATTAATCATTATTAAAAATGAACATTGGCATCTTTTGCATTATATTATTACTAAGCAAGTGGAAAAGCCATATTTAACATCTTGTTACCATTAATTCTTTCTAATCGTATGTCCCGATTTTCCACTATATTTTATTATTTTATACAGTATCTATCTAGAACCACCATCACTCTTAATTTATGTCGTCTCTTTTTCTCTTTTTCTAGAATCTATTATGATGAATATTAGATTTAGATCGGGTCGCGGTCAGGCCCGGTCCAAAAAAGACCAGTCTATCGATCTTTTGACCATTCGTAAGACTGACTAGTCCTTAAAATATTTTATTTATAACAGCGGTATAATTAGGTTGATCAGCAAGAAAAAATTTTTCTTATTCATAATAAAATATTGAAATTAATTTGTTATACAAAATTTCGAAAAATATGATAAGATTTTTATTACTAAACGTTCTAATTGAATCAAGAATCTTTTTTTTTTTTAAAAAAAATAATATTCTTACGCTTAATATTGTTTATTTTTTTTATTTTGTAAATTTCTTAATAACCTATCTATAATAGATAGAGCGGGGAGAATAATGAATAGAACGGAAGTTAGTACACAACTTTAATTAAATATTAAATAAATTTATTCAAAATAATAATATTTTTCTGCTCATAAATTTCATTTGATCTATATCAGATATCAAAATATCAATTGACTGCGCTAGTGAATTAATTTAAACAATATTATATTAAAATGACAAATTAAAAACATTATCCTTGCTTAAATAATACAAATATCTGTAGCGAGTCTAAATACTCAAACAATATGAAAAAAATTGAAAAAAAGCAAATATTCGTAATAACTTTTTTCTTTTAGGTAATGCCACCCAGATCTACTGGCTTGGCCAGAATTAAGATAATTGTATCTAAAATCCGCATCTTAACACTAACGCGTGTCAGTAATTTAATGAGGCTGGAGACTGGACTATATCTCTATATAGCATACAATTTACAAATTCAACACATATTTTTAATGTAATATCTAAATTTAATAAATATTTTTATGAATTTCACACAATATAATAAAGTAACATGAGAAAATTTTTCAAAATCATCACCATAACATGAAGTTTTGACCACAAAAAGCAGAGCATCATAAACGATTCCAGGATCTTAATAGAACATCATCAATTTAAGAACTAAATTAAGGTCAGAAGAATCTAATTTTACTGTACCATTTTAATTTACAAATATATGACGCGTGGTTCAAGCCGAATAACAGTTTAACATTGATCAGCAATGCAATGAAATAAGGCCGCACTAAAATTTGTCATTAATTTATTATTTATTACCTTTACTTTCATTGTAATCTAAGTATGGCTATATTTACTAAATAAAGTTGTATAACTAGGCCCGAGTTATATATATATAGGTCAGGGGAGATCGGCACACATTTACTACGCATTTCTTCAGGGCCGGCACTATGTAATGCTGGCGGCATTAACCACAAATGGAAACGATCTACATGATTTTGGCTCATTCTGAGCAAATAGGTCCTGTATAACTATTGCTCAACAATTATATAAACTTTTTTTAATCTAGATTGGGAGGTATTAAAGTAAACCTTTGACGCTCCAAACCTAAAATTTAAACGATTTTAAAAAGTTTTTTTAGAACTCGAGCTAATATAAAATATTGAACAAGAAAAAATTCTCACTTTAGTAGAATCATAAAAGTTTTCTTTTATAGCGGAAGCATTAGAAAATTAGAAGCTATTCATACTGAAAAGAACCATATTCATCCACCACATTTAACTAATAAAAATATGAACAATCTGAACTTTTGTTATCAACAAACAATTATGAATTAATATCGAAAATATCATTAATTTAAATCATTGTTTCTTCGGTTATAACTGCATTATTGCTTTCGCAAATTTTACGAGCGAATTTACGTTTTAAAATTTTAAGAGACTTAGAGAAGAATTTTTTGACCTTATTATGTGATTTATATTGTTTAGGCCAGAATTCATTACCATCTAGTTTCTGGGAAATTTCGGCAGGATGAGAATGATCATTTTGTGTAATAATAAATTCAGGGATGAATTTTTTATCAAAGATCGAAAAGTTGATATTGAAAATATTAGTTTGCATATTAATGAGAATTTCCAAAAAGAATTTTGCAAAAGCAGTGCTTTCTTTTATAACTATTTTTTTTGGTTTTTGTTCTCATTAAAAAAGAAAACTTTGTTCCAAGTTTATCAAGAAGCTATTATTATTTCCGAACAAAAAGAAAATCATACATAAATATTTGTAAGCTACAAGCTACAGTATTACAAACAGTATACGGTACTTTTAAATATTTTGAAGTAATTCATTATTAAATTATTTAGGAGGTTCTTGTTAAGATGACAGAATTACCATGTAGATTTTTCCTTTTTTGAATAATTCCGACCAGAATTATACGTCGCTTGCCCTTCTGGGACATGATTTTATTTAAATGTCACAGATCTGCTCGGGTCCCGGCCAAAGTTCAGGTTTTAATGTAATCGTTTTCGAGTTAATTAATAAAGTAATCATATAAGGCGAATAAAAGTGAGAGATAATTGATCAATTACATTGTTAAACCTTATTATATTGTACTTGTGAATTTAAGTGTTTCTTGTTATATATTAAAAATATTGCGTTAAATCATTTATATTTCTTTGTTAAAAATTATAGTGTTCCGAAAGGGACGGGTCGAACCCGGGTTATCCGAGTTAGACTATAATCGGATCAAGTCGAATCCGGGTCATTACTTTTACACTTGGATCGAGTTCGAGACTTCGAATAGACCTCAAAACCCGACCCGACTCGACCCTTTTGGAACACTAGTTAAAAAAAAAGAAAATTTCATCGTTATAAAATTTTATACATTAAAAAACAAATTTAAAATCATTTACATATTGCTCGAAAATTATCAGAATGGTTACCTTCTAAAACTTTTTTTTTTCATTAAAATTTATAACGCTTTTATATTTGGATTAATATTTAATATTTAACCCACTATATATTTCATAATTATCTTAATAAAATATTTACGAACATTGCAAAATATAAAGGAATTTTTAAGTCGTAACATTAGTTTTATGCCCATACGAAGTAAATCAATAAAATAAATAATAATTAAAAGTTTCTAGGTTTATACAATATTCTCATTGGCTCATTATTAAATTTAAAGTTGGTTGATGGAAAAGTATAGTATTTAAAATTTATTTTTATTCAAATCTTTTTATAATAAAGAATTTTTTCTAACGAACGAATATCAAGTAAAATACTTCTGTTAGTTTTATATAACAAATAGTAAAATTTTACTGTCTTAACTTCATTAAACTGATTGTATGGTATCCATTCAAGCACTATATCATAATCATCAATTTCTAACTGCATTTCTTGAATGAACTCATCTTATCACTTGGAATACTTCATAATTTTCTACTATAAAATTTCCTGGAATACCTATCTTAGGATAATAATTACTATTATAGCAAGACCAATTATTAGAACCCGGGCAATATAAATCACCTGTATATGGCCCATAATCACTATAGCAGAAAATAGCACAATCTGTATTATTAACATAACCTAATTTTGCCGTAGAAATATCTTTTCCATCTGTAAAATTAAATAAAAAACTATCTGCAGTTTTTTTCCATTGATGTCCATTCCAATCAAGAGGATTATACCCTCCAATTAATTGCGTTGAGCCTTGAATTTTTGCTACCCAAATAGTAGCTCCTTTATTATCACAATTTTTATGAAAAGTCTTACCATTAAATCCATCTCTACTTGAACGATATAATAATTTAAATTCATAAGGGATCTCATTTTTATTATAAGAGGAATCCTTTTTATCAATCCATGAAGCGAATAAAGGAATGTGATTTGATTCAATTAATGTTGAATCAAGTTTAAATTTCAAGTTTAGTTTTCTTGAAGGTGCTACATTAGTTTTGGGTTTCATATTAGGAACTATATGAAATTCCAAAAGATTATGAATTAAATCCTGAGGCAATACTTCTTTATAACAATAAAATTTGTAAAAGAAATCTGAAGGTTCAATATCATAAAATCTAATTAAAGGAATAAATCTATGTAATGACCTTTCAATCTTTGTAATATCTTCCTTATTCCATTTTGTTGGATCATTTATGATATTTTGTTGAGAAAAACACCATTTTAATAAACTTTCCCAAATTAAAATTTCATCTATATTTAAGTCATCTCGTTTTAATAATAATTCCAACAAAGGAGCCTTTAAATTGATAAATTTATCTGAATTAAATAAAATTTCAGGTTCTTCACAAATTTTTTCAAGACAAAAATTCCATAAATCAGTAAATGTTTCATGTTGATAAATAACTTCAAGAATACCAGTTGGATTTTGATTCAAAAATTCAGTTTGATGATCGATCAAATATTCTTGAATATGAGAAACCAATTGTTGAATATTAAGCTCATCAACAGCTATCAAAAGTTTCAATACTTCAGGACCTTGTAAATTCTTTAATTCAATATTTCCACAATAAATAAATCTATTGTTAAAAGATAATTAATTATAAATAAATATAATGCATAAATAAATGTTAAAGAAAATTTTCATTATTAATATTATAAATTACCTGAGAATGATATTAAATAAGTGAGACGAAATATTTGGTTTCTTTAAAATAAATTTCCCATCTTTTTTCTCGGCCCACTCATTAGAAAATGCGGAACGAAAATATTGAGACCTGATACACAAAATATTAGAATGAGCATGAATTTCTTTGACGTTTGGTTCTTCTCCAGCATAAATGATAATATCGTATCCTAATTCCGTTTCAAAAAGTTTTTCATAATCACTAGATAACTCTGTCAAAAATTTCGAAGACATTGTTGTTTAAAATGATGTTTAGGGAGGAAAAAAAATTTTGTAATGTAATACAATTTAATAAAATTTGTACTAGTAACAAGTTAATGCAGTTGGGCTAAAAATTATGCGCATTGTCAATCCATGAACACAAATCATATGTATAATGATATTCTGTACATTCAGTTATTAATTAAAGCTTGTGGCAAGACGTCCTCAACCCAGAAGGTTTGTTGGTAATAAACCCGGTATAATAGTGATATAATGGTAGAGAATCAAGATAGAGAACGTAAATCATCCACTACGTGGAATTATTTATTAAGAACTAGATCAGGTTGATGCGTGGCAACTTCATTGCCACCAGATAGATTATTGTCAAAAACATAATCTTTGTTCACAATTATTTTATTTATTTTAAAAAAAAAATTGTAATTCCAAAAACTATAAAAAGTTTTGAAATAAATAATAACAAATTTATTTATTTTTTATTTATAAAATTGATAAAAACATTCGCAAATATAAAATGAATATTAAAAATTATAAAAGTTGCTACTGGTTAGATTTTTTATAATAAAATTTGCCAAAACCTGGTTAAAAAAACTGATTATTAAAATCGGAAAAAGTTGCTATTAGTCAGTAATGAATATGGTGAACATTAGTTTATTTGAACTACTATCATATAATTTAATCAATTAAAAATCATTTTATCCCAAGATGAATTGTTTTTAGTTAGTAAAAAAATAAATATTTTATTAGTGATTTGTAATAAATAATTAGTAATTAATTTAACAAAAATTTTATCATTTACCAAGATATTTACTAAATTGCCAATGTGATCTATTAGTATTGTCCTATTTCAGTCAGTTCAAGAATAAACATAAATGGTAGAAAAAGAAGTGGCTTGATTAATAATATTCGAAGAAAAGAAAAATAATATTGTTAAACGAATGATTGTCAAAATGTTATTTACCAATAAAGTCACAAGATCAAATCTAAAATGGTAAATCAATTTTAGATTAGTAAACTAATCAGGACACTATTATAGTTTAAAATAAAATTAGTTAATTAAAAAAAAATTGTTTAAAATAAAATTGGTTAATTAAAAAAATTGGCAAAAAACAAATTAGTCATCGGTAAATATGCTGATCTACAAATTACTCCAAATCAGCCGCATTTCCCATTAGTCACTGGGTGATCTGCAATTTTTTTTTTTTTATAAAAAATAACTTTAATTCGCAAAAAAAATTACAGAATCAGTATCTCTGAATCAGAATCTGAATCAGATACTGAATCAGATACTGAATATAATACAATATAATAATAATGAACGGTCATTTAGGTTACACAAACTTCTAAAAAAGGTGATTTTTTTTGGAAAAAGGAAATTGTTTATTACACTAAAAACGATGTACATATATAAAATTATATTTGTTAAGGTAATACAAATCTCTTGGCGAACCATCCTTAATTATATTATGTTAATTAAAATTATTGTCCGGAGTGTAGCGAAAGACATTCTATTGTTATGCACTACTAGATGATTTGTATTTCCTTCATTTTCCCCTTTTCCTTTCTTTTCCCTTTCCCCGATCACCTCAACGTGGTGACCAAGTGACACCAAGTTTCTTAAGAAACTTGGCTAAGTCATAATTACATATTACATTAAGTCATAAATTCAGCAGTAGGTGGTTTAGCGACATACGTAATTGAATTTATTTTTTCTTAGGAGGGTTAGCTTTTAAAATTTTCTTTGGATTATTTGATAGTCTTTCTGATAATCTTTCACTTAAAGTTCCTTCGAGTGGTTTTTTGAAGTTTTCACCCTTAAGGTTTTTCAAGCGGTTTTTTTTTTTGTTGAAAAAAATATTGCAAATTTCACTGCGCATGACCATTGTACAGTAAGTGTTGACATAGTCTCCGTGTTTCTTGACCGCCATGTAGATAATATTGTGCTTATTCGACACTATTTGCTATAAATTTCAATAAAAAATTAATTTGCTTAACTTATTCTTTACAATTTATATTAAAATTAATTTTATTGTTTTCATTTCAAACTTTTTTATTTATTCGTTTATTTTACTTTTGATCATCTCATGTAATAATAAGCCATTAAAATTTTGTAAATAAATTTATTTAAAAATCATAAGCATTTACATATTTAGTAATACAATTTATTTATAAAATCATGAACTTTAATACATAAATTATCATAACTTGTAACTTGAATATCATAAAATTTAAACTCTTCTACTTCATCTTTTAAATGAAACAGTTCTTTCCTTACATTATTAGAGTAATAAAGAAGACTTTCTATAGCTAAATTTGCGATCCTTTTTTCTTTCATGGCATATTTTTTAATACATGGTAATATTTCTTCACTTTCTTGATACATCTTATTCCTGATTAATAATTTCTTAATAAAAGTATTTTTAGAATTCTTAAAAAATACTTCCAAATCATTTATATTGAATTTAAGAGCCAAACTTAAATATTCTAATCTATAAGGTAGAATCTGTCCTAAATTTTGTAATACAATTGAACTAAGTTTATCATCATAACTTAATTGATAACAACCAAATTGACAAAAATTGATAGAAAGATAATTAAGATTATGTTGAATATTTTTCATTAAATTAAATGATGAATAAATATTTTGATCATCAAATTCAAGTATTTCTAGAAATTTGATTTTATTACAATAGATTTTTGCTAAATTAAATAATTGAAATTTAAATTCATGATCTATTGAAGATTCAAATCCAATATTTTCCAAGTAATTACCAAATTTTTGTAATAATAATTCTAATGACTCAATTTGTGATACAGGGCCTTCATCCATAAATAAAGATTTTAGTTTAAATGGTTTAGTTAGATTAATAATTTGTTGAATAAAAGCAGAATTTAAAGGATAACAATAAAGAATATGAATTGAATCTAAAACATTTAGTTGTTCAAATACTTCATTAAAATTAACTTCCCAATTATTTAAATAAACTTTATGAAATATAATTATTTTTAAGGTATTAGAACAATTAGAATATTTTAAACTTGTTAAAGGATAACTACTATAATCAAAAAAAATTGTTTTGAGATTTTGTTGAGAATTGAATATTTTGTGAAAATCTTGAAATGATAATAAATTATTACTATAATTCATACGTAAACTTTTAATATTAAAAATGAAATTTGGATTTTGTAGAATTAATTGTAAGAAAGATTTGAAAGAATCACCATCAATCATTCCTAAAGTAGTTGAAATTTCAAAAGTATGTAAATTAGCTTCATTTTTGATGAATATTTTGATTAATGACAAGAAAATAAATTTTGACAATTTAAAATCTTTGTTAAATTTTGAATCCCTTGCATTATCAATCCAGTTTGAAATAGAACAACTAAAGGTTCGTGTACTTAAACATTTAATAAAACTAGGATAATTAAATAGTGTACTCGAAGGAAATATGATTCCATATTCATTCAATTTTATTTTATCATCTTCATTTAATTTATTCAAGTAAATGTCAATAAAGTAATAGTTTTTAGGACAATTTTTCGAAAACGGGTCTTCCCACAATAAAGGAATTGCTAGACGACACCATAATCTATTAACTAGAATACATGAATGTAACGTTGAAAAATCATTCTGAAGATACTGTATAATTTCACTTGTTATTTCAGGCAAACCAGAAAATATTTTTGAGCATCCCATAATGTTAAGAGAAAAGGGGGAAGGATATCCTGTTTAAAATGTTCAAACAAGGCAGTTTATACTTTTCGGATATTCGGAGTTGCTATTCCGATATTGAACACAGCAGATCAGCTGATTGCAAACATCATTTCCACGTGATTTAAGTGCATCTAAATTTTTATTGGCGTAATGTTTGGTATATAACATGTGACTCGGAATATTTCCGTCTCCCGATGTCATCAAGACCAACGTCTCCACTTGTTGTCGCGATTTGGTTAATGTTAGAATTATTTTTGGCTTCTTTATTAATTAGTCCCTATAATTTGTACTGCGACTTTGTATATTTTGTGAGATAAATAAAAATAACAAGTATATAACATGTGACTTATCAGTTTACAGTTTTATATTTGTATTACTCTCGATTCTATTATATAATATCTTTGTAATCGTTACTGAAACTTTATTCTGTTAAATAAAAATAAAAATAAAAGGTTTCCAAGGTTTCGTATATAACATTTACAGTGTAATACCTATGCCCGTGATAAATCACGTTGCCACCATAGATATTAACAAAATAATACTTTATTAATAATATAAATAAATACAATAATATGCTTGGTTTAATAATGTTAAATAATGGTTAAACTTTTATCCTTATTTTTCTAAATAATTTCAAAGAATTCGTAACCTCATTTTTAAGTCAAAATCTTCCCATATTTATATTAATCTTTATATGGCGACCTACTGGATTATCCTTTACCTTTTCAGTGTCTCAAAAATATTTAAGTGTTAAAAACATTGCTCAAAAATAAATATTTGCCCACAACAAAAACGTTGTTCCACTTCATTCAAACAATGTCCACCATCACCACTTTTCCACTTCGATCTACAAATTAGTCATATTTGTAATCCTTTAATAATCAACTAAATTAAATATACGTCATGATCTACAAATTAATCACCTGACATTCCAATCACTTGACTCATTAATTCACTTTAACGTCATCGCGGACGTTATATACTATTGGTTGGTAGTTTAATGTCATTCCGGACCAATTAAAATACAAATTTAAACTACTAAAATTTATATACTAATATTAAATATAATACTGCGCCCCACAATTCATAAATTTACTAGGTAAGTACTATTGAGTATTGCTCTCTCATTCGTTTGTTCCGAACGTATATGATCAGTTTGAATGTTTCTCTGCTGATTTCCCACGCTCCCTCCAAATCGGCCAAATACGAGAAATTTAAAATTAGAAATGATTATTTCATTAAAATATATCTGATATTGTATTTTGCTTTGATATTATTATTTTATCAATTATTTTCTCAATTATAATTAATAAATAAACAAAAATATTTGTAAGGTAATGGAAAAATTTTAATAACGTTTAATACCAATAAGCACGTGATAAAAAAAATTGATTAATAATTTTTTAACAATTTTTTAAAATTAATTACACAATAAAATATGATATATATTTTTCTTTCTTGTTAATCCGCAAAATTTTAAAGATCTCCATAAAGTAATTAAAGTACTGTATGTATAGAAACCTCTTTTCCAATTTTATTAATCATCTCTCCACCAAATTTCATTCAAATAATGATTAGGATATTCATTGGTAATTTTCTGTAAAATCTAAAAATAAAATAGATTAACTGTCAATACTAGTTACAAAATTATATTGATATAATTAACCAACCTTCATACCAGAACCTCTAAAAAAAATTTTCTCCTTACTTTTATCACAAAAGGTGGATTTGTTACGAATCTCCATTTTTGATTACATTTAAGAATTCTGTATACTGTTGGAATATATACTGCTGATTCTTAGTTATTGTCGTCACAAAATAAATACAGTACTCTCCACCTTAAATCCTCATTTAAATACGTCCTATTTCTGAAAAAATGCTAGTTAAAGTGTGATTCTTGTGTGATTTGCAAATTTATATTGTAGTGTTCGTAAAATGATAACTGCAAATATAGAGTTTTTTTAGTTTCGCAAAAAAAACCTGACCATAAAACATTAGGTGACAAATAAAGAATTGTGTCACAGCTATTTTGTGCGTTCAATTTCTTTTTTCTTAAAGTATCAAAATATTTCGCGAAAAAGCGTGTGAATGAATGACCATTATGGCCAACAAAACGATTTTGTTATGAACATACTAAATATTATTGTAGAATGTTTTGGAGATGAAGTTGAATAAACTATAAGGTAATTTCATTAAATAATTTTATACAATTTAACGTAATTCTAATTTAAAGAAAAATTATTATTACTTTACATATATAATATTATTAAAAAAAAACTTCCCCTATAATTATTTAAAAAACTTTGCTTAATTAACTACAAATAAAAAATTTATATATATATTTGAATCATATCATAAGGTAAGTTACATTGCTTCTTTTCCCTGATATATAAATAATAAGATAAACTATGAGAATGGAGAACCAGTATCAGCTATTGCCAATCCGGCTTCTGCGTCCCGCATCACGTTTCCAAATAGGAACATATCGACGTCTCAATCCCCCGGTGCTGCATCTGCTAATTTAAATTATCATTAAAAGAACCCTTAATATTAATATGAATAAAAAAAGAAAAATTTCTTTTAAAGTGATAATTTATTTACCCGCTAAAACAATAGTAATGGCGAAAATTAACAATAAGTATTTGAATTTCATTATTGACTTTATTTGTAATTGTGATATATATAATTTTTAATTCGTTGTTTATTAATTTATTTAAAGAAATTTCTCACCTCTTTCTCAAAGTGTTTTATATAAGAAAATTTTTTATAATAACACTATTTCAAATTATTTCATGAATCAATGAAGGCGAGGTGTACTAGAGTATTTTTCCACGTTTTTCTATATTGCGCCATAGCTATGTTAAAATTTACAATTGAAGAGCAGAGCAACATGAGGAAATGTGAAATTTTGATATTAATAATATTTTTAGCCGCGATCATTTGTAAAATCGCGTTATTAATGAGGGCAAAGTAAAAACATACAAGAGTATTTTTGACACGTTTTTTGCATTGTGCCATGTTAAAATTTACAATTGGAGAGCAGCCACTTTAAATTAATAATGAGTAAAATCGAGGTTTTGATGTCAATAATTATTTTCAACCGCAATTATCTGTAAAATTATTTTTTTTTGTTGATTGTGGTGAAGCAAAAGAGAGTATTTTGCCACGTTTTTTTACATCGAGCCACAATCGGAACGAATGGTGCAATAGACGAGATCTATCTTTTTTTTTTTTTAAAAAAAAAAAGAATAAATAAATAAAAATATATAGTATATATTGTTCAAAGTGGTAACTAAGATCAGGAAAGTATAACTCATTTCTTTTATCTAATCAATAAAAAATGAGGACCAGTCACAATGAGTCACATTACCGACAATCAAATGATCGACACAGATGGGTGATTGACGCAGCAAAATTATATTAAACACACTTCGTACCTTTACACATATATTAATTTATTCTGTTTAATAATTATAAATTAACTGTTAATGCTTTATAATTATATAAATCGAAGTTTATCAGTTATTTTTTATTCAATATAAATTTGTAATCATAATACAAGTAAAAAAATAATAGTTTGAGTTAAAACTACAATGAATGATGATTATGAGCAATGCCTCGCAAAAAATCTAAGACTGGCCTATCATCATATACCCTTTGAATTCAGGATTCACGCTCACGATCTTTTTTTTTAGGTAAATTTCGTCGTAAAATTGGTTCCATTTCTAATTGAACCCTATTTTGCTCTTTCTGAATTTCTTTTATTATTTTAAATACGCCTACATGTGCATGACCTACTAATGTCTTCAACATTATTTTGAGTTCAATGAAAAGCATGTTCAATATTATCAACACTAGACCACAGTGAAGGTGGAAATAAAGGTTCAGATCAAATAACATTTCCACTAATTAAGATGCTAAAAAATTTGCATAATTAATTCAATTATGGTCAAAAAATATTTATTATAAATTCGAATGTCATGTTTTATTAGAAATTAGCAAGTTCAAAATAAATCAAATTTCATATATTTTACATTTTATAATCCTAACTCCAACATGAATTCTTGTTCTATAAACGTAGATCAAACATATGAATATAATTTTATTTATATGTTATACACGTCTATATTTAACATGGTGAGTCAACTGAGCCATGTTAGTTGATGTTATTTAAATGGTTTCAATAAAATAATAAAAGATTATCTCCCGTTAATTAAATTCCCTTTATACTGTATATTCAAAATTAGATAACTCAAATTATTAATTAGATTAGTTGCTCCAATACTCTATGGAAAAAGAAGTAAATAATATTATAATAGCAATATTTGTAACATCAAGGCCGTAAATTAAGGGTGATATTTATTTTGGATACAAAATATAGTGGAGGATCGGAGAATATTGATGAGGAAAAGATAAAGATGCGAAATATAGTTTTTCCTCTTGCTTAAATAAATGTTTAACTGAACATTTATGTCATTTTTCGTTCTTGATACGTTATAAATAGTTGTAATTTATATGAAAAACAATTTCTTTTTGGAATACTACATATATATATATATATACTGTATATATATAAATAAATTATATACAAGAAATTCCTTTCCCCGCAGATTTACATTAAAGTTTTAATTAAATAATCGACTAGCAAATCTTTAGTCTTTGTAAAATCAATAACCTCAATCTTACATATAGGATGAAGTTTGAAGTGTATCCTGCGAAAAAAAAAATCATTTAACGAAATGTGTTGTAGTAAAATAATTTAAATATTTTTATTTTCAGTTTATATAATTATCTCGAAATTAAATGAAATGATAAGCCTTTATTATTCCAATTTACTCATCCATTATTTCTTATAATAACAAAATGCAAGATAACAAAAATATATGAATGGAAGAAATTATCAATAAGAGAAAGAATAAATTCTTATCAGTTAGCAAGAAAATGACTCTCTTATTATAATTAGGTTAATTTGTTTAAAGCAACTAAATCAGTGAATATGAATCTAGAATTATAAGAACGTCATAATTTCATTTCCGACAAAAAGGAGGACACTTCCAAGCTTGAAAAATAAATTATTATATTTTTAGAAAAAGGAAAAGAAAAACAAAATTAAACAGTAATAAAATAATGAGTTTAATTATTTACCTTCAGGGTTCGGTTCAGGGTCCGGTAGAGCTTGAAAAAATAAATTATTATATTTTTAAAAAAAGGAAAAGAGTAATAAAACAGTAATAAAATAATAAGTTTTATTTGATTATTTACCTTCAGAAACCGACGCTAGGGTTGAAATGATTACGACCACGAAGATACTAGTAAAAAGGGCTTTGACATTCATTTTTTCAATTATTATTGAGATTGTTTATTGAATTATTGAAATATGAAAATTTAGAATATTTCACAAAATGTATTACGTCCTAACACCAAGTAAATATAACGTCTTTATATTCAACAAATAATGTGGCGTAGTAATTTAATAAATTATGCATGTCTGAAATGTGTGCCAGGTTGATGGCGCAGTGTGGCGCAGCGATTTTTCCAAAAAAAATTAAATTGCAATTTTTTTTTAAAAAAAATAAAACCTTTAAATCCTGCACTAGGTGTATTTTCGTCCGCTCTGCAAATTTACTTAGAGCATATACAGGTGGTTTAGAAGGCCATTTTCGAGTTATTTAACAAAAACTGTTCTTTCGACAAATCCAATTTGGAAATGATCGGCAAAGACGATAAAATCGGTTGTTATATACTAAAGTCAAAATCTAATACTTTCATTTATAAGTGAATTTTGTAAAATAGATGAAAATACATCCAATGTGTAAATTTGAAAGCTTTACATTAAAAAGAAAATCTTTAACTTAAATCTTTTTGAAATTACTGCGCCACACTGCGCCGTCAACCTGGCACACATTTCAGACGTGCATAAATTATATCATAATTAAATAAGCCTAAAAACTCGCGAATAAGCCACGTTTATTTATTTATATACGTGGCATTAATTTCTTTACTAAGCCATGCGTTCTAAATAATCAATAAATTGAAGATTGCCACGTTAGCCACTGCTAGATACAACTAAGCCATTCGCAGTTTGTTATGATTTTATGACTTAATCAGATTAACCAGCCTTCTTGAATGATGCAATATTTTATACTTATTCAGCTTAGGCGCTTAGAAAAATCATAAGCCTACATTATTTACGTACGTGGCATAATATATAAAATTTATATTAAATTATGTAAAAAGTTTCTAAATTAACTTCATTTGTTCTTATAATAAGTTCCAATATATAAAAAATTTTCTAATGTTGCCTTCATGGCTATGTATTTGTTTAGCAAAATACAATTTTAAATACGATTTACAATAATACTAAAGGATATTTTTTTTTCTCATATAGTCAAGGAGCAAGTCACTATGCAGTATGAAACTTTCGGATACATTTGGAATTCCGAAAAATTATTATCAGATATCTATCAGAAAATAAGAAAAGTGCCCAACCTCGGCTTCAAATAATGCAAATCATGTGAGGAAAATTTGATTATGAGCAATAAATTAAATTATATTCTCTTGATTTTATTATGTTTTAGTTTATAAAATTACATTACAAACACAGTAATATCATATTATATAAGTGAATAAGTAATTGAAGCAATAAGAAAATTATTCCATAGTAAAAAGATAATTGAAAATTCGGCGTTTAACGGTAAAATGATGAAGGAAGATTATAATCTTTATAATATACGTAAGAATAAACGAATTAATGTAGATCGCTTAAATTTCACTTTAAGTCACATTTTTTCACCTTTTAGTACCTTCCATTCTTTTTACTATCTGCTGAGCCATTTTATCACCTTTAAGCCTTTTTTATAATTTTTACTGTAATAACATGTCTTATTTGTCTAGAAAATATATATAACTTGGAGCACGTCATTAATATGTGAATCACGTGAGCTACAAAAAAAAATTACTGCGCCCTATGAATTACGACATTTCCAATGTTTTTTTTCACTTACATAAATCAAATATTGCAGTGGTATGAATAACTTCTTGAGGTTTAGGTTAATATCTTTCCCTTGTTGAAGATAACCAAAAGGATTATTTTAATATAATATAAAAGCCTCGCTGTCATCATAATTATTATACAATATGGTATGTAATGTTCTTAATAAATTTTCTTCATTAAAATTTATTTTAAAATCACAAACACATCTTGATCATGGATCAACGGACAATTTGTCAACTTTTCGGTGATCAATTTGTCTAGGTGATAAGTCGTCCTGCACCAATAGGACCCAAATAATATATAAATAGATAACAAGAGATCGGCACTCATTTCTTTAGGACCAGAATTACGTTATGCCGCTGTCATTATCCAATAAAGGAAGGAACTGTATATATTTTGGTTATATTGCTACCTTTTTATGTATTTTGCTCGGGCCCTGCGCTAATAGTTACCCAATCATCTACGAAATGATCAACATTGATTAATAAAAAAACTTGTGGCGTAAAATGTAATCGATCGACAAATAATTGTGTAACTGTGTACGAAAAATGGATAAATTTACTCCCATTTTGAGTAAATTTTAAAAAACAAACTTTTTTCCTTTCCCTCTTTTTTTCTTTCTTCATTAAATATGGCATGTTCAAAAATATGTTCAGGAAATTTAGTTGAATTAGCGGAAGAAATTATTCAATATTTGAGAGACGATATATCGTCATTATATTCATGTATTTTAGTTAATAGATTATGGTGTCGTATAGCAATTCCATTATTATGGGAAGATCCATTTTCGGTTCCTACACAAAAATTTGATTTTATTAAAATTTTATTACGTAGTTTAAATGATGAAGATAAAACAAGATTAATTGTAAAATATGGATTTAATAATAATGAATTTTCCCCTAAAACATTATTTAATTACCCTGGTTTTATTAAACGTTTAAATACACAAAACATTAGATTTTGTATTGAAAATTGGGTTCCAAATTTAACAAATAATTTTGCAAATTCAGCAAATTTATTTTATTGGTTATTATTTAAAACTTTTATTAAAAATGAAATAAATTTAAATTCTTTTGAAATAGTAATGCTCATAAGTAGAGATCATAAATATTTTAATGAAGTATTTGATTTAATATTAAAAAATCCGAAATTTATTTATAATATTAAAAATTTAATACTTCATCTTAACTTACTTCCAGGTGTAATGAATATCGTTCCTTTTTTAAATTTTTTAATTTCTAATTGTAATTCAATTTCAACAATTTATTTTAAAATTAATAGATGTTTTATTTCATCAATTGAAAAATATTTATCAGAAATTATTCTTTCACAAAAAAATCTTTTAAAAATTTCATTTGAATATAAAACTCTTACTTTATATGATTCATTATTATTAACATTGAAAAATCAAAATTGTTCAAACACTTTAAATACAATTATATTTTATTGTATTGATTTTGAAAATATAATTGATAATTTAAAAGTAATTAATAATTTGAATGTTTTAGATACAATTCATATTCTTTATTGTCATTCTTTAAATTCTAATTTCATTCAACAAATAATTAGTATTACCAAGTCATTTAAATTGAAATCTTTATTTATGAGTAAAATATTACAAATAGATTCATTACAATTATTATTACAAAAATTTGGTAATTATTTAGAAAATTTTGGATTTGAATTTGGAGATGATGAATATAGTGAACCAAAACGTCAATTACTTGAATTGGTCGTAAAATATTGTACAAAAATTAAATATTTTGATTTGGCAGGACCTGATGATAATAATATTAATCCAACATTTAATTTAATTAAGAATAATATGCAAAATCTTAATCATCTTTTTATAGAATTTGATCTTGAATTTGATGATTATAATTTAAGTGATGATGTTATTAAAATTAGTTCAATTATATTACAAAATTTAGGTCAAATCCTTCCTTCTAGATTAGAATATTTATGTTTGGAACTTAGTTTTAATATGAATGATTTGGAAATATTTTTAAATAATTCTCAGAATACTTTTATTAAAAAATTATTAATTAAAAATATAGTACAAGATGGAAATGATAATCATATTTTATCTTTTATAAAAGATTTTATAAAGAAAAAGAATATGGTTAAATATTTGGCTTTTTCAGAATTTTTGGATGATAATTATAATGATTTGTTTTCTTTAAAAGATGAAGTAAATGAATTTAAATCATATAATATAGAAGTTCAAAAGTATAGTGATTTATATATTCGTACTTATGATTTTGTAAATAATTAATGGGTAACGATTCTGAAGGTATATATGATATATATTAATACAATTCTGATATAAATAAAAAAGGTATATATAAGTTTTATATGATAAATAAAAAAAGGCATATTTTATATGATATTTTAACATGACACAATGATTGTAAACTTTATATTCGTGTATTTCTTTCGTTTAACAATTCCGTTATTTAAAATGTTCGTTACAGAACGTATTTTGTAAATTTGGACATAAAAGAATCTTAGGGAGAAAATCTATCAATAGCTAATAATTATATACAGGACGTTGATACCCTAACTTTTATTCTATATTATTAATAATCTGGTTAAACTGATACCATTAATGTAATAATAATATTTCGCATTATAGTACCTAATGCTGCAGCTAGAGTAATTAGGCCTTACTAATTTCAACCCATAATTCACCACCACAACTATAAGTTTTATATATACTGTAGTTGTAATTTTGCAACTATTTAAAAAACAGTTGAGATGCCATCCTTAGCTGAAAGCATATACTTTGCTTATATTTTCCTAAGTTTTTCAAATTTGTTTATTTTGCAATATTTGTAGCATAAAAAATAATAATAGTATTAATTAAACCTTTTATTTGGTTATTTTTGAGGGTGCTAAGCAATTTTAATTAGTGCACCTTCTTTGATTTAGGCCATAGTTTTTATGAAATCACATACTATCTTGTTGAGCACCAGCGGTGCATTTTAGTGAAGTCATTTCAAATAATTTATTATAATATGTACAGTAATAATATTAAAACTAGTATCATAAAAGCAATATATAATAACCATAACCATTAATCCCAAATTAATCCAATTCAATCTCACTGAGTATTCTAAAAATGTATTTGTACAAATTGTAAAAATCCTGATATTGTTATAGTTTTAATATTTCTATTTAGTAAATATTAAAAATTGTCTGTAATATTTATGTGTATACTCCTAACATGATACAAATATAGTTAAAAATGCAATGAGTAGTTAATTGCCATGTAAATATTATCCAATTTTATGATCTCAAAAATGGAAAACAAATATTTATTGGTTATGGAGTATGCTGGTTGTGAATCATTACAATTGTGTATTGATTTTTTAATTTGATTAAATCAAGCAATAAATTAAATATACAGTATATTCATTTTAGCATACATAAATGTACTTGTACATCAAAATAGAATAAAGTTTGCAGACTTTGATTTATCAAAAAAATAATCAATGCATCACATAATCCAGCAGATATCCTTGGTGTAATTCCTATATTGACCAAAATATTTAATAATATTAGAAATAAGTATAAAAAATTTGCATTATTCATTTTTATTTATGTATTAGAAATGGGTTTATATACTTATATGGTGCCAGAAGTCTATACTTGTCAATAAAAATGTAATACTTAAAATCTTTCAACTCCTTAAAAAAAATACAATTTAGAAAAAATAAACTGGCAACTTTATTCTTTGAGGTAAGCTCTATCAAATTACCAGTCAGATTTTTAAAAGAAGATCTACGTAAAAAGTTATAAGCATGATTTTCATATGATCAGACCAAATTTGAAACAAAATATGTTGGCCAGAACTTATGATAATTTGGGTCGAATTCATGTATTGTGATAATGCCAGCCCGAATTATCATAATATGAATCAAATGTAATTTTTTTTAAAAAAAATTTTTTATCAATGTATGACTCTTATGAAATGGTAGTTGCGATTTTTTATCCACTTTTTTTTATGTTTTATCTTGTTTGTAATAAAAAATTTTCAAAACTGCATTATATTAGTACTTAACACAAGAAATCCAGTTTTTATTGGCGGAATTCCAGATCACATGTTATAGAATCAGCTCAAACAAATCACGTGATTATCGAATATAGACTTCCGGCACCATATTTGATAATTTATAAAAAAAAATGATTTATTCAAATTACAAACTTAGAAATTTGTAAAATATTTACTACTCTAGTTTTAGTGTTTAAATAATTCTAAGAAGAGACATATTTAATATTTGGATAAAATATAAAAAAAAAAAGAATTATTTAAATTACAAACTAAGAATCTTTAAAACATTTCACTACTCTAGCCTTAGTGTTTAAATAGATCTAAAAAGAATAAAATGAGGAACAATTTTTGTTAAATGTATGGTATCAAATATTACTATATCTTTTTTAAAACACAAATAATTATGTTAATTTTCATTTGTTTTAATATCTAAATATTAAATAAATAAAATTAATTAATTTATTTTATAATATACCATATATTATATACACTTTACATACCTAATTTCTTCAAATTAAACATGCATTCATTCAAATCTCCGCTTACTAGCATTTCACTCACTTGTACACTAGTTTGTGAATTTTTACTTTCAAGAATTTCATTCAATTGTTCACTAGTAAAATCAAGTAAGCGACTTGTATAAAAAGCCTGTGAGTGAGATTCAGTAGCAAGATTGTTATGCCCAATTGGTGCATTTATAAATTCCATAATATTGCATTTTAATTCTTCATTAATTTCTTCAATTTTCTTACCATAAGGAGGAAAAATCCATTCATAAATAATTTTTAAAACTTCCTTAGAAGATGGCCTTTTTAATGGATCTTTATCCCAACATTTTTTCATCAAATCTACATAGCATTGTGGAGTATTTTCAATAATTTCAGGACGTTTACCTTCACAAATACTTAAACTAAGTTGAATATCATGTGCTCTATTATTATATGGTGGTATTCCAGATGTAAATTCCCACATAATCATAGAAAAACTGTATATATCACTAGCTGGAGTATAAGATTTACCTCTTAAAACTTCAGGTGCCATAAATGGTACAACACCATAAATATCATATTTTTTCAAAAATGATTTTACAGGTTTACATAATCCTAAATCACTAATATAAATTTTACTCTCATTATGATTTAAAATATTGCCATCATGAAGATCACAATGAATAAGATTTTGTTTATGTATATTATCAAGTCCAGAAATAATTTCATACAACATGTATAATTTTTGATCCCAATCACTTTCAATTATTCTTGTTAAGTTTTCTCTTAAATTACCTTTGTTTGCATAATCCATTACTGCCATATATTTCAAAGTATCTGGATTTTTTGTAAATCCATAAAAATAGATAATTTCAAATGAATTTAAACAACTTTCATGATATTTCCACTATAAAAAATAATAAACATATTAATATAAGTAAATTATAATTTAAATTAAAAAAATAAATAATATAAATATCATACTTCATTTAAAAATTCATTTAAATTTTCATTTAAAGTATTATGGCATTTGAGAATTACATCTTTATTATCTCCATCATTCATCAACCATGTAGCTTTATATATAGTACCAAACCCTCCTTCATTAAGATATTCAACATTTTTAAATTTATTATAAGGAATCCATCTTAACATTTTTTCATGAATAAATTTATCTATGATTTTATTTCCACTTTTTCCAAATCTATAATTTAAAAAATTAAAATTATATTAAAGTTTATAATAAAATTTACACTGAAATTTAAGATTAAAATTAACACTTACTCTAAAATTTAAATAGGAATTTAAGATAATATATGTCTTAGTTTTTTGTATAAATATTTATAATAATACATAACCTACCAACTAAAGTAATAGAAATTTTAAAATAAAAGAATACAGTTAACAAATAAATATTATTAAAATATATAACAATAGAAATAACAAATAACTTACAAGCTTTATTATTAAATAATTTTTTAAATAAAGAATTTAGTTAGTTTAAATTATGTGTATATATTATAACAATAAATAATAATAGAATTAAATAAATAACTTATAACTTACGATCTATTAAATAAATAATTTAGTTAGTTTAAATTATATGTAAATATTATAACAATAAGTAATAATAGAAATGAATAAATAACTTACTAACTAAAAGAAATTACAAAATAATTTTTTAAATAAAGAATTTAGTTTATATGTAAATATTATAATAATAAGTACTGATAATAGAATTAAATAAATAACTTACTCTCTATATTATTTAAATAATTATTTAAATAAAGAATTTAGTTTAACTTATACGTAAAAATCTTAACAATAAGTAATAATAAAATTAAATAACCTACCAACTAAAGAAATTACAAAAATAATTTTATAAATAAAGAATTTAGTTAGTTTAAATTATATGCAAATATTATTGTAACAATAAGTAATAATAGAATTAATTAATAACTTACACCCTATATTATTTAAATAATTTTTTAAATAAAGAATTTAGTTAATTTAAATTATATGCAAATATTCAGTTATAACAAAGTAATAGTAATAAATAACTTACACCCTATATTATTTAATTTAAATAATTTAAATAAAGAATTTAGTTAATTTAAATTATATGCAAATATTATAACAATAAGTAAATATAGAATTAAATAAATAACTTATAACTTACGATCTATTAATAAATAAAGAATTTAGTTAGTTTACATTATATGTAAATATTATAAAATAGAATTAAATAAATAACTTACCAACTAAAAGAAATTACAAAATAATTTTTTAAATAAAGAATATATTTATTTAGTTAGGTTAAATTATATGTAAATATTATAATAATAAGTAATAATAGAATTAAATAAATAACTTATAGCTTACGATCTATTAAATAAAGAATTTAGTTAGTTTAAATTATATGCAAATATTATAACAATAAGTAATAATAGAATTAAATAAATAACTTATAACTTACGATCTATTAAATAAGAATTTAATTAGTT